GCCAAGAAGGCATAAGTATAGCATTCTTTAAAACGACCACGAGTAAAGAACCTTCATTTACCTTCCAAGGCGAATATCCATTCCCCTTGTTCAACTGATTTCTCAACAGAAACTTTGCAGGCCAGAAGGGAATGGCAAGAAATATTCAAAGTGCTGAATACCAAGAACCTACAACCAAGAGTACTTTATCCAGCAAAGCTATCATTCAGAATTGAAGGTCAGATAAAGAGCTTCACAGATAAGGAAAAGCTAAAGGAGTTCATCACCACTAAACCAGTATTATACGAAATGCTGAAAGGTATCCTTTAAGAAGAGGAAGAAGAAAAAGGTAAAGATACAAATTGTGAACAACAAACATGCATCTATCAACAAGTGAATCTAAGAATCAAGTGAATAAATAATCTGGTGTACAGAATGAACTGGTGATTATAATGAATCAGGGACATAGAAAGGGAATGGACAGACTATTCTTGGGGGGGAAAGGGGAATGGGAGATGCGGGAAGAGACTGGACAAAAATCGTGCACCTATGGATGAGGACAGTGGGTGGGGAGTGAGGGCGGAGGGTGGGGCGGGAACTGGGAGGAGGGGAGTTATGGGGGGGGGAAAAAAGGAACAAATGTAATCTGAACAATAAAGATTTAATTAAAAAAAAAAAAAACCCAAAATTCTAATTCAAATCTGAATTCAAAATACAAAATCACCAGCTCTGTATTGGGCTCCATACCTGCCAAGACTATCAGATATGAATTAGTAGTCTTCATTTTTAAGACTGGCATCATATATTTGAGCATGAAAATGATTCAACATGGTGAAAACACCCTTCTAAATCCTGAAAAGAACTACTACTGCACATGCAGACTAAAGGCTCAGAAATGGGGGCCCAGCGCTTCATTCCATTCTTCTTTTTAAATTATGGGGTGTTCTCAATATTAATCAATGATTTCACAAAATAATTATTTGCATTCAAAATGCTAAAAGACATCATTTGACAAAAAAAAATATGCCATATGAAATGACATATGTATTCTGGTAGCAAGATATTAAAACTAAAACCCATTACAAAGAGTAGGTAAATAGCTTTATCAATCAAATAAATGAGAGTATTTCTACACAAAACATGAAACTACTGTTTCCATCGCCACAAGCACACAGAGGAGCTGTGAAGTAATTTCTAGTTTATCAAATACCGCAGCGGCCTCTCTCAGTATCTTTCTTATAAATAAAACTAACCTTTTGTTTGGGGTATGGGAGCGTTCAGGTAATAAGGGAGCTCACTGTTTTTAGGAAACCAATCTTTAAATGGACAGAAAAATCCTGCTTGTACCGGGAATAATCCTAACTCTTCAGTTTCTAGAAAATGTATGTTTCCTAGGTTAGGGCTTACAAATACAGAGCCAAGAAAGATACTTTCAAGCCCCATTTTCATTTGTCCTATTATCTAACCAATCATTCTGCACCAATGCATTTAAAGCCCTTTTTTTAAGTTGAAAGAATGATAAAAAGTCAAATTGTTTATGCTTAAGCCACAATGCCTCTAAGGACCTCAGACCCTCTCCCTGACATGTAAAAGGCCGACTTGCCCACCACTAATTCCTTCCAGCCTCTGGTTTCAGGATGGCATGACTATAAAGCTGCCAGATGCCTTGAAAAGGAAAAAAAGATTCTACACAAATTCTGCAATAAAGGAAGTACAAACGATACTGAAAAGAACAAAGTGAGAAAAAAGTCCTGATAAAAAAGAGAAGCAGGAATAAAACAAACACAAAGTATGAATACAGGCAAGCTGGACGTGTCACCATTGCCAGGCCTAGGTCAAGGTAAAGTGGACAGGGACAAGATGACCCAGCTGAGGACCAGGGGCTGTGCAAAGGCAGCAAGGGTCAGGGGAGAGTGACCCATGAAATCCACCATGGCCTATAGGGAGCTGGCTACAGAGGGAAAGGTTCCCTCATTCTTAATGGCAACTATCAAGTGATTTCACAGCCTTAGCACATGCAGCTTCCACCGTTATTATGACTGGATATATCTGGTTCCCCAATTAATGCAACAAAGCCAATCCCAGCTAACAAAGCCACAGAAACCGGATAATTCACAACCACCCTCCCCCAACACGGGCACCCTCCAACATGGCACCTAGGCAATTTCCCTACTGAGCCGCTGCCCAGTGCCCTCTAGTGCTCAGCCAAGGGTGCCATCTCGCCCTTGTCCATTATCCCAGCCCATGCCTGAGCTGTGTGCTCCAGCAGGCTTGCTCTGTAACACTACCATCCTCTTGCTGAGGGTACTTTTGTTTTTTTCCATGTTTAAGACCTGCACTTCATCTCCTTTTACCCAAGGCCAACTTCAAATCCTTTCTTAGAAAGTTACACTGTCTTAGACTGACAACTTTATACCTTAACTTGAGAAAAGTCTAAGCAAATCTTGGGCCAAAAGGTAGAGATGGAAGAAACTGTTAGGGGAAGAAGTGGAGACCGGTACAATTCTAGAACAATCTCTCCACAAAGTTCATTAGTAAAGTAGCATGACATGACTGGCTCATTCCTGTTAACTTGTGCAACTTGGGGACTTAGTGTCCTCACACAGAATTCCTATCTGCTCAGTTTATAACTGAAAATGGCTACAAATAATGGTTTTAAGAAGTAATAAAGGTAGTAACTAAGGGTTAGTTGACTGTTATTTTGACCAAGGCCAGAGAGCAGGTAGAACCCTCTAGCCTTCCATCTTCCCATCCTCCTCCTCGGAATATGATACAGTATCCCAGCGGTTCTCAAAGTGCGGTCAGAGCAGCAGCATCTGGAAACGCATCAGAAATGCACCTGTGTTGGGCTCCACCCTAAATGCTGGGAGTGGGTCCAGGAATCTGTGATAACAAGCCTTCTAGGTGACTTGCTCACTCATATTTGAGAACCACTGCTTTATTCTCTGCAACAGACACTGCAAGGAACCGTGGGAAGGCTCTCTGTTAATCAGCAACAGCCTACTATCAATCTTGAAGTTGCAGGACTTGCTCAGAATGACGGTCAATTGATTGTGTCTACAACAAGTCACCTTGTGTTTTTACGGAATGACTTTTATAGCACCGTAGCTCAGCTCTGTCTTCACACAGACCATCCCCCTCTGATGGCATGCATAATAATCTATAAAGTCAACATTTCTTTACCTATTTGATTAATCATAATAGTACTATGGAGGAAGCTGAAATGGGAATGAGGAAAGATGGGAGACAGCCAAAAAGAGTTACCCAAAGTTTCTGGAATGTTCCTTCTCTCTCGAGTTACATCTGAGAGCCTAATAATTGTTCCTTCTTTCCTTTCAGTTTTGAAACGCAATCTTCCAGATTCTTCATCCTCATCATCTTCTTCATCTGATTCTTCTTTTATTTCCTTCTGCATTTCCAAAGTCTCCATACTGCCCTACATTGCAGACACACAAAACAAAGGGGAAAGTGAGTTCATCTCTTGAATTAAAGATTGAAGAATATAAGTTATTTATATTTAAGATGTAAAATGTCCTTTTATGAGGCAATGTGAAAAACTAAATCGATTCTAGGAGAAAATAATCTCAAACATTAAAAATTAACTTAATGTTAGAAAAAGATTATATTCCTACATGTTGCTAATTACACTTCAGAGAGAAGAAACATCAATTCCAACAACCCCTTCAGGCCTGGAGTCTGATCCAGATTCTAGCAGAGTCCAATGTATTAACTAAGCTAACAATG